AAGAGGTCGGCACAAGCTTATTCAGTATGGCAGGCCGACTGCTGCAGTGCAGCTGCCTCGAATCAGTTATGCTACGTGCTATGCCGTGGCCCGACTGTCCCTCCCTGGCATGGTCAGGACCCGTTGTTCTTTGCTTCGATGGTGCTGGGCGTTCTGTCCACTGACGACGCGTCCACCGCCCTGCTTCTAACCATCCCTTCGTTCGGCGCGTCTGCGTGTCTGGAGAGCGCGCCCAGATCACCCACAGCTCAGGCGCGCGCTGGCCTCGGGTCGCGGCCACGCGATCCTCCACCACGAGCCCCCACCACGAGCCCCCCACTCCGGGCCCCCCACTCCGGGCCCCGCCACTCCGGCCCCGCCACTCCGGCCCCGCCACTCCAGGCCCGCCACTCCAGGCCTCCGCCACTCCGGGACCCCGCCACTCCAGGACGCAGCCCAGGTTGCGACATGACGCACAGTCCGCGGAGCTGCGCGTGTCTTCCGCCTGCCGATTTGACGGCGGAATTTCACCGAGCGACTGAAACCCGTTTGAGGCCGGCGTGGTATGCGCCGTGTCCAGCGCGGCTGTGCGTCGCACGCCGAGCCGGCATTGACCTCACCTGTCGAGTAGCGTTACGGTCGGTTGTACATTGACACCCGGTGGCGCCCCTCCCCCCCCCCCCCCCCCGGTGGTGCCTCTCTGGAGTGACGCTCTGACGGCGGCTACCGAAGCCCTGGTGGTGGGAAGTTGAGGCCCTGACGGAGCTCCGACGCCCTGACGGCGGGTATCGAAGCCATTGCGGCGGGAAGTGAGGCCCTGACGGGAGGCTCTGACGCCTCGGCGGCGGATCTAAAGCCGTGGCGACGGGAAGTGAGGCCCTGACGCGAGGCTCTGACGCCTCGGCGGCGGATACCAAAGCCGTGGCGACGGGAAGTGAGGCCGTGACGGGAGGCTCTGAGGCCTCGGGCGGCGGATACCAAAGCCGTGGCGGCGGGACGAGTGAGGCCGTGACGGGAGGCTCTGAGGCCCTGACGGCCGGCACCGAAGCCCTGGCGGCGGGAAGTGAGGCCCTGACGGGAGGCTCTGACGCCTCGGCGGCGGATACTAAAGCCGTGGCGACGGGAAGTGAGGCCGTGACGGGAGGCTCTGAGGCCCTGACGGCCGGCACCGAAGCCCTGGCGGCGGGGAAGTGAGGCCGTGACGGGAGGCTCTGAAGCTCTGACGGGAGGAACTGGCAGCGCGACGAACAATGCCGTTGCTCAATGGCCAGCCCTGAGATCCCCGACGAGACATTCTGATAGGTCGCACGCAAATTTTAAAATGGGGGCCAGAGGGGACCCAAGCCAGAGGGGGACCCAAGCTTTTTCGCTGAAACCGAGTAGGTGTGCCACACGCCCGCACAATTTAAGTGCGACATACTACATCACATGTTCCCTGTTTTCTCATTTGTGCATGTCTACTTGAAATGTTTCTCTGTCAGCATTTGGTCACGTGCTTGTCCCGGAGCTATTACATGCGTGCGCTCCTGAGTACTGACACACTGACGCCAGAGGCCGGGTCTCTGACGGCAGATACTGTGATAATACCGACATCAGTTGTCCCAAAGACAGAACTCGGCGTTTCAGACAGCACGCTCCTGTATTGGCCGCCCCGTAGGTGAACTGAGACCCCAGACGCCAGCGTGCCTCGTTCCCCGCACATAACCGGTTTTTGCCTCTTGTATACAGACCTTCCGCTGTCCTTTTTTGTCGTCATTTCTGGAATCCTTGTTGGTTTAAGGGCTAACGTAACGACTGATCGTGCAACCCAAGGTCAGTGGAGGTCAGCTTCCCCCGCCGCTTGTGCGTGGTTAGCTGTTGGCCGGCGGGCGGGCTCTCTTGTGACGAGCGGAGGGGCTCGTTTTGTGCGGCCCGACGCCGGCGCCCTCCCCGGCGGCGTGTCTGATGACTAACCCGACCCTCGCTGTGCCCGTCTATTAGCCTGGCGCGTTGTTTTTCCGAATGTGCCGCTCTCTGGCGGCCATGGAACTGAACGGCGCATGCCGGAGCCCCGCCAGGTCAACGCACGCCGTCGGATTTCGTCACCTGTGTAATTGTGCGCGGCCGCGAAAACGCGCGCGCCGCCGCGCCGGCGCCAGGCGGCGCCAGGCGCGGGTCGCCACCTTTATGGCCACTTCAAGTTCAACGAACGGCGCGCGAGGCGCCGGTGCGTCCATATCCCTCCCGCCGACCTCGAGAGCAACGAGTAAGGTCGCCGCGAACGTCGGCCGTGAGTCAGGACGGCGTGCACGGTTTCGCGGGGAACGCTCTCATTACGGCCGCCGGCGGCCGGCGCGAACGGGCGACTCGCAGAGGGAATGTGGCGCCGACAATGGAGGCCCGCAGCGCCAGCGGCCGGCTACCGCGCTTTTGTAACGGCCGCGCCGGCCGAGGCGGAGGTGGGGACATCCTCCCGCCGATGACCGCAACCGGCGCCGCGTTTCGCCCTCGCGCGGTGACGCCAACGGCGGGCCGTTCTCGGCGGTGCGTCGGCGGCGTCGCGGCGGCGGCGTCGCACGCCTCGGCGGATGGGCTCCGGCGCGGAGGGCGGGAGGAGCGCTGGCGGCGGCTGGCGGCGCGGCCCGAGTCGCTTCGAGGCGACGCCGGACGCGCGCAACGGCCCAGCTGTCGGTGACTAGTGTCGAGCCTCTCTGACACGCGAGATCTCTATGGCTGTGAGCACGTGACCGATGTCCCGTTAAGCAGGCGCGGCGGCTTCTCCCTCGCACCTTCTGCAGCCACTGGTGATAGACGTCGTTGATCGTCTCATTTTGGGCTGATGAACAGGCCATTGTGTGGTTCGAATTCGTCGAGCGGTACTCAATTTGGCCTCAGGTTGTCGGCCCCGCGCCCGACAGAGCTTTTGAAGCGCTGATGATGCACACCTATGCGCTGATGAATGCCGGTCAAGGCGACCGTTGCGGGTCGCCCTGGCCGGCTCGCGCACCAGGCTCGGATGACGTCCCGACCTGTCCCGCTGGCCGCCGCAGGCCGCTGGTCCGCGAACGAGTTGGCCTTGCTCGGGGCGCTTCAGATGCGATCAATGTTAAAAAAGGGAACTTGTTTTACGGTTGTCGCGACAGGATGTTGATCTGATTGTCTTTAACCGTTCCAGATGCGCGAGATATTCTACCACGACCAGAAGGGCACAGAAGCGTTCTCCGGCTCGCTCAAGTACCGTCACATCCTGGCCGCCATGACGCTGCACCCGATCAAGGTGCCCACGCTGCTGTACAAGCTGCACAACTTCTTCCTGGTGAGTTCGACGACCGACCCGTGAATCTGTGAGTGCCTTGTATCGCGCTGGGGCTCTTGGTTTACCGATTGAAGCCACTGGTATCCTTGGAACAAGTGCGATTAGCGCAGGGCCAAACTTCTCAAGCGTGTTTTGTGGCCGATAGCCAAGGCTCGTGGGAATAGTTTGGCAAGGCAGAGCTAAACATTGAATGTCGATGAAGAGGTCGCCTTCACGGGTATGCCAGGCGTGTGAGCGCTGAATCGCAGGCTGGTTATTCATGTAGCTCCAGCTGCCGGTTTTTGTGCCATAAGTTGGCCTCAGAAATGTTGACCTTGGAACATGATAATGAACAGCATTTCGAACCAAAGCACGTTGTTTGCATTTCTATCTTTGGAGATCCTTTCGTCTTTTGTCATCCATGGATGGGACGCCATGACGGCCTACGACCACCTTCGGTTCGCTTGTGGGCTTGTAATCTGTCATCCTTTTGTGCCGACATTCCACATAGGGTGGCGAATTTTGAGGGTTTGAGATTGCAAATTCAAGGACGCTTGGGCAAATTAGCACATGCTTATCTTGATTTTCTTCTGGCGGGGCGCAGGCTCAGACTAAACGACCGTTAAAACAGTCGCTTAAGCTAAGTGGAACACCTGTTTTGCGCTAGTTTCAAATGAATCTCGCCCGGGTCTTGCACATGCCTGTTCACCTTCAAAGACAGGTAATGCCGGTTACAATCCTGCGCCTTCCCTGGCTATCGTGTGTACAAGCTCGCATGACCGAGCGTTTACAGGCCAGATAACCTCACTGTCTTCTTGGGAACACTTGCGTAAGTTGAGAGCACACTGAGCTAGCATAGTTGTTCGAAATACCAAATGTGACAATCTGGCTCTTGTTTCAGTCAGCATGCTAATAAGCTAGCCTACTCTTCTGTCGGAACTTGTTCCATTTTCACTCCGTTCCTCATGTCAATCCATTGTACCCTGCCGCTCCAAACTCTGCATTTGTCGCATGTCGTATCGTTCTCGAATGTCTGGGTATTTAATGTTTGCCTGGTCCGGTGTCGTCACGGTGTTTTGATATCACGGCCGACGCCTGGTCCGGTGTCGATGGCACTCACGGGGTGTGTCCTACGTCGGTGCGGTGCGACGCCTTAAAACCCCCCTCCTCTCCTGTCCCGTCGGGTGCCTGCTCGACATCTTCCGGGGCGGCGGGAGCCTCCCTGGGACAGGACTGTCACGATGCGGACGCGCGAGAGGCTGCCGAGGTCACCTTCTCGCGTCGTCGTTGCCGCCTTTTGACGTCGCCCCGGGGTATAGCACTCGCAGAAAAGCCGTCGAGGGCTCGTTTGCCTTGATGGTGTACGTGGTCATCGGTGCTGCGCTCGGTGAAAAAGCGCGAGGATGATATGGAATCATCCACCACATTCACCCAATTCACACGTCTCGGACAGCGCGAAATTCACGTCAGCCATCCATGCAGGCTTACACACGGACAGAGCGTTACCAGGCCGGACCGAGTCCTGGATGAAGCCCCGTTGTGGAGGGGGCGTTCGCTGGCAGGTTGCGTGCTGGCGGCGGGGCCGGCACAGGCGAGTCTGCACCCGTGAGAGCAAGGACGGTGGCTCCAGGCTAATCCCGCATCATCGGGTTCGGAATTCGACGCAGTCGGACAGCTCCCGACGATAAAAGGGGCATCCAATCACGAGAGGACGATTTTTGCAACGCCTGCATGGCCGTATCAGGCGGCTGAAGTCCTTGAGACGGCGGGGACTTGACTCGAGCGCGAGGTGCAGTGGCGGTTCGGGTACTGCTATGGAGATGTTGGACAAATCGCCTGCCTGTTGTCATGGAGACGTATTCCGATTAATGATAGAACTATGGAAGCTTGCTATCCTTAACTACGGCGCGATGATTTCGTATTGGGCTCACGCGTTGGGCTCAGGGCTTGTGACCTGGTTGACACCGACCTATATCTCCTGTCTTTGAGGGATGCCACCGCACATGTCCACGATGTGCCAATGCTTGCGGGTACGCTGCTCAATGTGTCATGGAGACGTTGCTAGCGTGGTTATACATGGGCGACACCTTTTTGCGTAATCGCCGCCGATCCAAGCAGGAGCGGGACATGAACTCGGCGTGTCAGCGGAGAGCTCCTCTTGGCTGGCCGGCTGTGAAAACCCCGACCGCTCCGCTGGCTTGGCTGTCAGCTCTCGTGCGTGGATCTCCGTCAGTCTCTCGTGTCAGACATCCGCCGGTCCCTCAGATTGGTTGTCAGGCTGGGACGTGAGGTGTCCGTCAGTCTCTGCCGTGTGAGGTTTTTTCAGCCCGCGGCCTGAAACTCCTCAATTCGATGCGTGCGGTCGGCGAAATCTAGAGTGTACCCGCTGCCCATTACATCGAGGAAAACATCGTATGAACCTGGCTGGACTGAAGCCTTTGCTTGTTCAACTATTCCGCCAATCTGAACGGCTGGGCTGAATGGCACTCGGACCGAAGGCAACGTTCGGACATACATTGACACCGGACAGGACCAGACCTGGAGGCAACGGCTGGGTCATGGCCGTGCCGGATCTCGCCCCCGGTTGCGCTCCTCATGGGCAGGAATGTTTATAACCATCATGTCAGATTTGTGTGTAAAGCTTCTGACCAATTTTATCTGCGGGTGTTTATAGCGCGGAGCTGACGGCATGTGTTTGAGCCGAAAGCGCCGGGGCGTCTCCGCCGCTCGTCCAGAATCAGAGCACAGAAACTGGCCCTGCTTCCTGCCTCGCACACCGCGGCCGAGTGGCCACAAACACCACCTGCTAGCAGGCGGCAGCCAGGTATCATGGCACGCTTCTCGTCGAGCAGCCAAGGAGGAGGCCGCGAAGGCTCACAGCGGCCGATCCCGTCCAAGTCTTCTCTGTGCTTGCGAAAGAGGACGGAAAAGCCGGCAACGACCTTTGCGGCGGGTTGTGCAGCCGTTTGAGACAAAAAAATTGCAGGTGAAGGTGAACTTCACTGATGACTACAGATCCAGCCGAATAGCCGATTAACACAAGGTTAATACTTTGTGTTGTTTTTTCTCCAGACTCTGGCTGTAAAGGACTGCTCTCTGCAGCCGTTTGTGGTGAACAATATCATCTACATACGTGCTGCAGAATGTGACTGTAGTGGCTGCAGAGTGCGGTCTTTCACAACCGGAGCATGGACAGAAACAACGCACGAAATTCAGTTACCGACTGTAAATTCCAACCCCCTTCAAGGTTAATATATGTTATACATTGTCATGTCTCTTGTAAAGGACATATGTATGTTTATTATGCTAAGATTTCGTGGCCACTTTTGATCTCTGAGCCACACGGACCTCCGTAATATCATTTTATTTTTAAGCGTCGTCGTCTTCCCAATGATGGGGTACTATAAAGTGCTGGAATAAGGAACAACCGGCATGAGAGGCAACAAGCTTAATTAACATAAAAGGTGCAGATTTGTACTCATTTGGCTGTCCTGTTCCCTCCCTCCCTTTTTTGGCAGCACGAGTTCTTGTGCTGAAGCTTTATAAGGAATTATTATGAAGCTTTGTTTATTATTAGCTTATAGGGGGGCTATTTTGAGAAAGACAACGCTGTTTTCATGTGCACCTTCCTTGCCTCGCATATGTAATGAGCATCGCTTCTGTTAGGTAACTGCCAGCGTGTTGTGTTAATTACATTGTGGCCTCGACGTTCACTCCGTTTTGTGTCAGCGCACGCGTTTTTCACAAGTGGGCTGTCTCGGGGAGCGTGTTTATCGTAATAGAAAAGAGAGATTTCCTGACGACGCGACTTTGTAACGCGTCCATGCGTGCTTTCTACTGACGTCATCCAACCACCGTCCAACGTCCCTCTCCTGCGAATTCTCGTATGTATGTACGTATGCGTGTGTGTGTGTGTGCGTGTGTGTGTGTGTGCTTCCGAACGGTTGGCAGCCGGTCCGCCACGACTAATTGGCGATGTGACTGATCTGTGGCCTCTCTACGCCATATCGACTTCCTTTGTCCCCGATGTCCGCATTGTCAGCTTGTGGCATTCCCAGCAATTAGGAGCTGCCAAGGTCGTGTTTGTCCAAGCTCCTGCGTCGTTACAGTTCATGCCCCAAAGCGTCTTCACCCGGGAACTTGATTACTCGCTTACGTTTCCCACCTGCGACGAACCCGGATATGCTTGTGCACCAGGGGCGTTGTGCACGTTGTGATTAGCGTACAAATTAAAAGGAGTGTCTCACTGGGTGCGAGCAGCCGAGTGAAGTAGCAGCTTTTGATTTAGGTTAATTATCCTTATCCGCGATGACTTCTGTGAGCAAGGCGCCCAGCGTGCAATAAACTTCCTACGACTCTTCGTCGGCGCGCTATTTAATACGCCTGGTTGAAGGCTGGTGGATAGCGCAGACAGTCGCGCAAACTCGTGCTCAGCTCGCCCGATATCCAGATTGGTTGTCAGTCGTTCACCCATTGATCAGTTGAGAGCGATGCACCACCGGAGCTTGGCAGCGGGCGGCCGCGCAGTCAGTCGGCCTGCGTGCTGCGCGCTCAGAGCCTGTGCAGCCGGCTCAGAGCCCGCTCAGAGTCTGTGCAGCCAGATCAGCTCGGCTCAGGGCTAGACTGGCCCAGCTCAGAGCCAGAGCAGCCGGGCTCAGAGCTCGCTCAGAGTCTGTGTAGCCAGATCAGCTCGGCTCAGAGCTAGACTGGCCCAGCTCAGAGCCAGAGCAGCCCGGCTCAGAGCTCGCTCAGAGTCTGATGCAGCCAGATCAGCTCGGCTCAGAGCTAGACTGGCCAGCTCAGAGCCAGAACAGCCCGGCTCAGAGTCAGACCAGCTCGGCTCAGAGCCCGCTCAGAGCCCGCTCAGTGCCAGATTAAGACTAGTCCGGCCCAGTGCCAGGTTAAGAATAGCCCGGCTCAGTGCCGGGTTAAGACTAGTCCGGCTCAGTGCCAGACCGGCGCAGCTCAGAGCCAGACTAGCCCGGCGCAGAGCCAGATCAGCCCAGCCCAGAATCAGATCATCCCGGCTCAGAGCCAGTCTAGTCCGGCTCAGAGCTAGGCTGGGCTCGGTTCAGAGCTAGACTAGCCAGCGCAGAGCCAGATCAGCCCGGCTCAGAGCTAGGCCAGTCCAGCCCAGAGTCAGAACAGTCCGGCCCAGAGTCAGATCAGCCGGCTCAGAGTCAGACCAGCCCGAGTCACAGCCCGTGTCGCCAAAGCGGCGCTGCGTCCCGGAGCCGACTTCTGAACGGACGCCTTCGCTGGCCATGTCTTACTGGAAAGAACCTGTTCTAAAACTGTCACCATGCTGTGGATGCACGCGTGCATGACCGCGTCGTGCAGTGGTTTTGTTTTCATTTGTTCGGCCTTGGCGTGCCGAGACGTCGTTGTGAACATTTGTACGCGCCCAGCGCGACGTCTTTCCTGTGTAAATGCCCACGCTTCACCACACGCCAGCCTTGAGCGCCTCCTCCGACCGTGGGCGGCGGCCGAGGCGGTTGCAGTGAACTGCGTGCGCGTGGCGTGGCGCGGCGTGACCGAGTCCGTGCCCACGTATCCGCAGAGCCAGCAGGTGCAGGAGGAGCAGCGTCACAAGGTGGAGCGCTACCGTCAGGTGGTGCGCAGCACGCCGCCCGAACAGCAGAGCGAGCTCAGCCCTCTCACCCGCCGCCTCGGTAAGCTGCTCTCACCCGCCGCCTCGGCAGGCAGCCCTCTCATCCGCCGCCCCCTGTAAACAGCCCTATCACCCGGCCCGCGTTCAGAGCTCCCTCAGCCCTATGACCAGCTTGTCCAGGCTTGGTCACCGCTCACTAGCTCTGCCCCCAGCTTACTCAGTGCGTTCTGACTTCACCCTGTCATGGCATGAGCTCAGCCTGCCTCGCCCGGCAACTAACGCGCGCCGTCTGCCCTGCCCTCAACAGGATGCCCATGTCATGGGCGCCATATGACCAGGGTAGTCGGCGCGCCCTGTAGCTCATGTAATCACGATGGTCATCTCACACTGCCCTACCTGGGAAGAGCCCCGCGCGACCCATTCTGCAGACGCTGACCATAGTCACCCTCCCCGCCCGAGAGGATCGCTCGCCCTCTCCGCAGAGTCGTTCCCTGTCTGGCAGCGGGCTCCTCGAGTGTCTCTGTCGGCGGGGGTGGCTGGTCGGCGATGTCGACACCCTTCCAACGCAGCCCCGCCGGCTGCTTCCCTCCCCCCCCTCCCCCCCCTCGCCGCAGCGGCGCTCGCTCTGCCCCGCCGCCGACGCGGCATCGCCAGACGGCGGGCCGTCGGCCTGTGAACCCTGCCACCGCCGGGCCGTGGCTCGAGCTCCGTTTGTTGACGGCGCTGCCGGAAACGGCCAACCGTGGGCGGGCCAGGCTGGGCATGGCCCCAGGCGGGGTATCATTCAGTACCCAGACGCTGCTGCGCCTGACGTCACGAACGACGCTGGCGCCGGCCTCGGCCCCGGTCCGTGGGGAACGGCCATCTGTCACAGTGCCCTGGCAGAGTCATGATCGCCCCAGCATAAGAATCCTGGCCTGGAATGCCGGGGCAAAGCGGACCTGAATTCCAGTGTGCGAGCACCCTCTCCAGATGCACAACATGGCCTGGAAACGAAGTGACGCTAGCAACCACGAGGCGGTATGGACCGACTTGACCTGATATTGATGCATGGACGCGCCGCAACAGTTTCCTCTCCCCACCTCCGACACGACATCGTGTGCCTACATGTGACGACCTCCACGGACAGGTGAGAGCGGCGCGCTGGACTCCGCCTCGGCTGACGCGCACCCGCGCCGCTCGAGACACCCCTGACCGGCGCCGCTGGGCCTGCAGCGGACCGGCGCGTCGCTGCTTCGATACATGCCCCGATAGCTATTTCGGGGCCGGTCGCCCGGCGGGGTGGACCTTGGTGCGCGGCGAGCGCGCCGCTCAGGGCCCCTCCGAACGGAGCGCGTCGCGCCGCCGCGCGCGACACGCGAGCGGGTTGTCAACGCAGGCGTCATCGGCCCTCGCGTGATGACGTCAGACGCCAGGGACGGACCAGACTTCACAGACGGGTCCAGACGTACGGTGTGTGTTATTCAGGAAAGACGGATGGAATGTGGTTCAGTCATAGCAAACTTAGCAGTCAGTCACGAGTTTAAGCAATGCCGTGTAGGCCTTAGTGTGGAAGCTTCAATGGAGCGTCTGCATATTTTAATGTTCTGCGTCGTACTGTGGTACCTTGTTAAGAAAACCTGTTGGGTGCTGATGTAAAAAGCCGCTCACTGCTGAACTAGTCGCCAATTTTTTCCCATCGCTTGGGACGGAACAACTGATCTTCACCCGATCAGGAGTCCTAATCACTTACCGAAATTGAAATGACGTGTCACACTCAAACACAAAAGAGACTTCTTTGATTGTGCACTTACACTTTGGAACTAATTTTCCCTATGCAAATTTGGTAAGCTATGGCTTTATTTCGCTTTCGGTGCCGCTCTGTGCCTGATCCATGCTAACAGGCATGGTATCATGTTACGAAAACATTCATTTGCCATCACCGTGGGTGGTGATAGGTGGTGCATTCCTGCAGCATCTTTCATTTCAGCATGAGCCAGCGTGTACTAGTGCACACATGCATTAGAAAGCAGAGTATCAGGCAGCGAATATGGACCGCTAGTGGCTAGACATGCAGGGCATGTGCGTAAGAACTGGAGGCGGATGGTGCCTCCCGCCCCCCCCCCCCCACACTTTTTAAGATTGTTCAACATTCAACGCTATGGCGATGCATGGAAAGAGTGGACATCAAAATTGGCATCCCCGTCCGCCTTCACACCTTTGGTAGGGAGTCCCAGCGCTCAGCAGCCGGAATGCAGCTGCAGAGCGAATTATTGTCTTTGAATGTGTGATATGCTCGTTACGCAACATTGTAAGCATTTGACGAGTTCCTTAGGACCTATTCTTAGCATTGTAGCGTTCTGTGGGCTGGCAAAAAGCTCGACAAGTCGGTGAGGGTGCGAGTGCGTGTCTGCTGATGACGGTATTTCAGGCTTGCTCTTCAGTATTACTGTTTCAAAACCGCAAAATTTGACAGTGCAAATGTGGCTAGGGTGAGGAAGAAGCAATAAGCTGAGACCTTATCGAAGAGCAGTTTCGCCTTTTTTGTAGGCAATGCAAGCTGTCGCCTGATTTCCTTGGTGTCATTTCATCAAACTTATCGCCAGTCGTGCGCACATGAGCAATGCATTTCAGTCTCGTGTGACGGGGTGGTGAATTCAAAAAGTACTGATGAAAAAGTTTGCGTGAACCGACATGAAATGGAATTGTATTCCTACAAATGAGGACAACAAATCTAAGTCAGTCGGGGTGAAGGCGGACGACCCGACGGCAATGTGACAGGGGCAGCGAAAAAAGCAGTGAACAAAGTTCATGTCAACCATTCATAATGTTTTTTAACGTAGCATTTTCCTAAACCTGCAAAGTGTAGCGTTGTGCATTCTTGTCGATCGCTGAAACTTGGCACCCATGGGCGATGAGCCGCTAGTCGCATATTTTCACCCTGAACTGTACCTTATCCTTGCGGATGTGCCTAATACCCATCTCACATTCCTTTCATTCAAAACATCCTTTCGCATTCCCCTTTGCTTACAATGTATGTCCAACTCCTCGACTATCCATGCCATCGCACCGGGCTCATTGCTATTCACCAACGTGTGCGGACGCCCGGCTTGCCCACTCAGTTTAACGCCGTGAAATAGTGAAAGAAAAGTAGTGTTTTTCGTGCCCGACGGTTGAGCGGGCGATGGCAGCGCGCTTCATGTCCCGGCGGCTGCGACCCCAGTGCCGAGGCAGGCGCGAGCGGGCCACCCAGTGGTGGTCCAGCGGTACAACAGGCCTATCTCCAGCCCCTCCGGCCGCTCCGGCTCGCGCCTGAGTTCAGTGAAATCGGCGCAGACGATGTTTTGTGCCGGATTGTGGCCTTGCACGGCGCGGCCGCCCTCCTTGTTTGAACCAATCTCTAATTTAGCTCTCATCAGACGGGCGCCGAAAAACGCGGAGCTCCAGACGGGTGCTGCGGACGCCAGGCGAGGCCATTGTAAACGGAAATAGCTTGCGGTTTCTTTCCCGTGGCGATCTTCTTTGTCGCTTGCGACAGGGGTGACGAATTGACGTGATCAAAGGCTGTGGGACGTAATGGTGTCATACCAGTTCAGGGCTTCGATACGGTACGAAACGAATGCTGTCATGTGACATTGACGTGATACGTTTCTTCCTCCAAGAAAGCGAGAACATCGCTTCGTTGAGAGTCGTTATGCGATGTGTGTAATATATTGGCGACAGATTTCTCCCCTGGTCTCGTTCCCTTGCATCAACTCTGTAAGCTAGCAGCCGGCTGAAGGCTATACCCTTTTAGAATCGCTCACAATCGATGGAAGTCGTGGGTCAGTCGCCGAATGCGACGCCTGTCTCACATCGGCCAGAGTGCGGGCCTTGGATTCACCGGCTGAGTTTCGACGTGGTCTGCTGCGATCGGTACGCTGAGTGGCCTACCTTGCATGGCTCGAGACGTGGCGTGCGTCGTAAACCCCCGCGAGTATTCATACTATTCATACATTCCGCAGCCTGCCCGCAGCATAGCGCAACTTTGGGGCGCTGACTCATGTCGGCAGCCCGAGTCGGCAATGCAGCGCTGCTGTCAGCGTCCACGGACGGGGCGCCCTGGGGCCGTCGCCCCAGGGCCAGTCTCTGCCCGCCGATGCCCCGCGGCGACACCGCTGACCCGACGCCGTCATCCGCCACAGGGTCACCGCCGATGCTCTCCAAGCTGCCGGTGACGGAACCGGAACAGGCGGTCGCCTGGTCCCACATCGGCTCTCACTTCATGCTGCACTCGGAGAAGACGATGGACCCGCGCGTCTACGCCGCCTTCCACCTGCGCGAGGGCGTGCGGGACGCCACCAGCTCCCTCATGGACTACATGCTGTCGTTCTCGCAGGTACGATCGCGGGACTGCATGCTGTCGTTCCCGCAGGTACGATCGCGGGGCTGCATGCTGTCGTTCCCGCAGGTACGATCGCGGGGCTGCATGCTGTCGTTCCCAGCAGGTACGATCGCGGGACTGCATGCTGTCGTTTTCGCAGGTACGATCGCGGGGCTGCATGCTGTCGTTCCCGCGGATACGATCGCGGGACCGCATGCTGTCGTTCCCGCAGGTACGATCGCGGGACCGCATGCTGTCGTTCCCGCAGGCACAGGTCACCGCGGCCTACGTGCTGCCGTTCGCTCGGGTGCGGATCACGCGGGACCGCGTGCTGTCACTCTCGGCTGTGCTGGCCGCGCTTTCAGTTCGCTGTGCCTGCCCCGGGAGCCCCCACCTGCGCGTGGAATTGGCTGTCGGTCACGGATGCCTGCGTTGTATGCGAAGCAGCGCCAGCCCTCTTCGTGTTGGCCGCGGTGGCGTGCCTGGCTGTTCCATTCGGAGCCTGTGGCCCTGGCGAGACATGGGAGCGGTGTGGGCTGCAAGCCATCAATGAATGTGTCTTTTCGGAGGTGAGTGTATGGAGGAGCGATACATCCCGGGCAGGCCTGAAGACACTTCATATAAGCATGGGGACACTGCACGGGGACACGACGTGTCGCGTCGGAGTTCGTATCCGGGGCCTGTCCTTGAGACGCGATCACACTAGGGATTTGGGAGTCGTGTCGCCTGGTACGCCGGCGTCGCGAAGTTGTGCGGACGGGGCTCCACCAGGCACGCAGTGCTTCTAACGCACGATCTTACCGCGGAGCTGAGGACGCATCACATCAAGCACCGAACATTGCCAAACTCAAGTCAAGCCGTGCTCCGTGAAGTGCAGATCTCTCTGAACTCCCAGTGCGCCACATATGCGTCGCACCCTGTGTCGTTCAGGGGTCACCAGTGTGACTCGGGTACCGTGGGCGGGGTGTGGACCCAGCTGTCAGCCAGCCGACCGGAGGCTCCGGATAGGGCTGGGAGGCTCCGGGTCCCCGCGTGCACCGTTACGCCGCAGCGAGCCGGGGACGATTATTACCAGAACTGCAGGTGTTTGTCGTGATAAATGGCTTGCTCTCGTAACGGCTTCCGGGCTCTGCGCTGTGCTGCTGTCGCCCGTGCTGTCGGTCACGAAGCCATGTAAAGCATGGCACTTCGGTGCGGTCGTGCTTCGCGTTCCTTAAGCGATGTCATCGGCCGTCAGGTGTGTGTCGGTCCCAGGGTTGGTGCACGCACGCCGTACTTGCCCGGCATCGACTCGATGGAAGTGCCCATACAGCAGTCGGGCCCTCCCCATTGGTGCCGAGATCATCGTGATGACCGGATTATCGATAGCGATGCGTGTCCTTCGCCTGAGGATTCGCACTCTAGTCCGCCGCCTGTCCGGAATGTCTCGTTCGGACGATACATTCCACTCCACTCTGAGGCTGTGCTGGCCCGCTCTGTTGAAATAGGCTGATCAATGTGGACCCGAGACTGCCTTTGAACAGAAACCCGTTGTGTCATAATGCCACCGCTTTTTCTTCTTGGGGCTGCGAATCGTAAACCGCGGCAACATCCAGCTGTCCGCGGCTCCTTGAGAAGTCGCAGCGGATTGCACGAGCCAATGAGCCAGCGCATGTTATCCGGCCTGAGCATCCGACCGGAGTTGGTGCCAACTATGACAGACGCTTCAGCGGGCGGGCTAAGCCGTGGCGTGGATAGTTATTTTGGGAAATAAGTCGCAGTCGACACGCTGGTAAGCTCAGAGCAGATAGGAAACTGACTTAAGTTGAGTGTAGGAACCCCTAAGTGATGACATAGACTGCCAGGCCTTACCTCATTATATCAATTATTCAATCGGATTACTTAGTTTAAGTTATGTTATGCTGTACGGCCTTTAAGAAGCGAGATAGTTCAACCAAATAGTTATTACGTGCGTGGAGCACGATCACAGAGCCACTGAACCGCGACCAACTGAGCCGGTGAAGAATGACCCATTCTGTTCTTCAGATATAGCTTCCAGACGGCCATATGCTGACTCATCAAAGTTGGGGTGGCTGTAAAATGGACTTGACGGCCTAATTTGGCGTGGCAGGTCAACCTGGCAGATCCTGACAGCAGCATGTTTTGATGTTTTGTCAGGTCACAGAGATGTGACGCCATTGACTAAAGTTTTCACCAGTCTGTGTGTTTGGAGGCTTTAAATAAACTTACTGATTTATGGATGACAATGCGAGACAATCGATACGTGCTTCAGTTTCCGATTATTAGGTCGTGAGATCACAGTGGGTATAAGTATTGCCCGGGCTGTCATGGATGGCGAAAACCCCCGAGCGGCGACAGGTGAAAATGTCATTGTTTTCGAGTTTTATCTGATGATAGATTTCAGTTACTATGTCTTCGTACTTCCGGTTTGATGGTCAACTTGGGCGAGATGGCGAGGCGCCTGGTGAACACGTCTGCTACTGATCAGCTGGCGAGTTGGACGGTGCGTGTTTGTTTCCCGGCATCCGGCCACAGTTCTGCAGCCAACTCTCCACCCTCCACCACCACCAGCACCAGCACCAGCACCAGCACCGGAAGGAGGGTCTGAAGGGGAAGGGGGAGGGGCTCCGTGACTGTGTCAACGGCTCCCTGCAGCTGCAGCGCTGCACGCGCCGCTGACAATCGCACTGTCACTGCGTGCCGACAGCTCCCCTTCCGAGAGACAGCGGCGGCGCCGACCCAGCACCGCCGCCGTCTGCCTGTCCCCGACCAGGGCCGAGGCGGGCGCCGTCGGCTTGACCCGGGCCGGTGACGGCGTCAGGGGCGGGCCGAAGAGCCGCCGGGGACCGGAGGGCGGTCCGAAGACGCTCGGCCCGCCGGCGCCGATGACACGGCCTCCGGTGACCGATGTCCACCCGTTCGCAGGAGCGGGGACGCAGCCTGAGTCTGCAGGAGCTCAACTACGGCTACCACCGCGTGGACCCGCTGAACGGCGTGGATATGGTGCTCGATCTGGTGCTCAAGTACATCCGGTTCCGCGGCAAGCGGGTGGTGCAGACTGTGCGCCGACACGCCTACCTGCAGCAGGCGTTCGGCATGCCCGAGGTACGACCCGGGCCGGCGCGGGAGCTCAGCGCAGGGCGACGGGCGATGGGCCCCGTTAATTGCTGGCGTCTGGTCGATTGTTAGACGAAGCGAGCCTCACGGCCCCGGATTGGGGTCGAGTGCGCCTGCGGTGTGTTTTTGTGCTGCTGTGGTTTTCTCCTTTTTCGACGCTGCGTTGGCATAGAAACACGGATGTGTGTGCGCCATGCTTCGGCCGGTGGTGTAACTAGAGTTTTCGTGTCCGTCCGCCAGGCGCGCAGCGTTCCGCGACAAGACTCGTCTATTGTGGTGAACGTCGTCGTGGCCGTCTCTGGAAAGGTTAAGCAGTTCCAGCGCTTCTGCGACAACCTGGAGAGGGTGGGACTGGACGGCATCCGAGTCATCTTCGTCTTCCACGAGAACGCTGTGCCTGAGGTGAGGAGCGACCACTGAATCCGTTCCAGCAGTCTTCGCCATCAGAAAATATAAAAAAAGATGGCATCTACACCTTCAAATGGCTTTACACCTGGGACCAATCGTGCTCGCACTGTGATTGAGATTAATTGGGCTGTTACCTACCTCAACGACCATAAACTGTTCAGGATAGCGTGTTCAACTGCGCATCGCTAACCGTCTTCACCAATTATATATCTAGCTCAAGGCGAAGGCTGCGCCCTCCGTCGCGCCGGCGCTGCGTGGCTGCGCCGCCGCGGATTACAGTCGAGTCACGGCGTGATGCGGCTCGTTTCCAGGACGTGCGGAACGCCACGGTGGCGCGGCTACAGGCGATGCAGACGCGCTACGCCAACGCCATCTCGATCGTGCCCTCGAGCCGACCCTTCGACCGCGCCTCGTCGCTGATGCTGGGCGCCAGCCTGCTCACCGACGACGACCTCATCCTCTTCATGGACGTGGACGTGCTGTTCGACCATGACGCCGTGGACGCCGTCCGCCAATCGGTCATCAAGGGCAAGCAGGTGCGGAGCGCGGCGGCGTCGCCAGCGTCTGGAGTCGGCAGTGTCGCCGCTGGCGAGACCTTCCGTCGCTGCTGCGTTGTGGTGAAAGTGCGGTACTTCTGCGGTGCCGCTGTGGTAGTTATTCGCGGAGGATGCTGAAATTAATCAGAGCGCGATGTCGCACCCTGTTGTACACCCCAAAAGGATGGCACCCTGGCTCAGGTATTACGTGCGTCACACCACCACGCGCCGACTGAAGTTTTGCTCGCTGTTTAATCAGCGGTCATTTGCCCCGAGCTGTGGCTCAAACGTCGTCTTGGCTTGTCGTGATTCCGGCGTTGTCTGATCAAGCCTACCCGGGGCCGCCCGTTTGCCGTGGGTCGTGGCCTGACCTGACCTGACCGTCCCCGTCAGGTGTACTTCCCGGTGGTGTTCAGCCAGTACGACCCGGCCACCCTGCAGCCTGATGAGGTGCCGGCCGACACGCCGCCTGTGGACGAGCGGCGCGGCAAGTTCCGCTACTACGGCTTCGGCATCGCTGCGCTGTTCCGTGCCGACCTCAAGGAAGTGGGCGGCCTCAACCAGGAGATCCACGGCTGGGGCAAGGAGGACGTCGACTTCGTCGATCGCGTGCTCAAGCACCCGCGCAACTACACACTGATGCGCTCGGCCGAGCCGGGCATGGTGCACGTGCACCACCCGATCGTGTGCGCCAGCGACTTGCCGGCTGACCAGACGGTCATGTGCAAGGGCACGCTCAACTCGTTCGCCGCGAGCCAGCCCCACCTCGCCTGGCAGGTGTGCCGCGACGACCGCGTGCTGCAGTTCGCACGCTCGCTGCCCAAGAAGGAGCTCAAGCCGCGGACTAAGGCGAGCGGCCACTGAGTGCGGCGCGGCTAGGTGCGGGAGCGGCCCGGGGCGCGGAGCGTCCCACTGTGATACGGACTGGAGCTGCGAACGCGGCGCGCGGGCCGCCGGTTATTTATTGTCGGGGTGCGGACTGCAGGCTGCTCTGGAAACGTGGAGCTTACTGAATCGAGGTGCCAAGACTGCGACGACTCGCTGGGACGCGGGCGCGGTGCTGGTCGCGGTGGAAGGGTCTTTCCGGCGCCAGCGGAGCAGTGGCTGCTCACCTCACTCCTCACCGGCGATGCCAGGGGGCGCTGATGCTAGGTGTGCGCGCGGGAGCGGGTGCCATGTTGGTGCCGTGTTTCTCCTCACCAGCCGGTATGTTTCCAGTTTGATACTGGCGCTCAAGGTTTGACGGCTGAGGGAGGGACATGGTCATTGCTATTCGCCGTAAGTGTTTTTTCCTATGCAATGTTTCCTCATCACTCTTGCCGGGGTTTGGTGGACCCATGCTCATGTCTTACTTTTGAGTGTAACATCGTTCTAGCTTATGTACATATACATCCTTTTCAGCCCGTCTGTATGGTGGGGACATGTCATGGATTCTTTGTCTTAAAGGGGCTTCGTTTTTCCAGCTCTCTCGACTGTGTACCGGAATTTTGTGCGGTTTATTTTTGTGGTTGTGTGCACGTTTTTAGACTCGGGTCATGTTTTGTTACTCAATGCTACGTTCTGCTGGATGGGGCTAAGTGTTTAGAAAGTCATGGTCACTTCCTAGGTCATTCGGCCTTTGGGGGCAGGGGTGTCAAAATGCTTGTTTTTGTGAGTTCCCTCTGAGTTCAGGAGTTCTCATTCCTTGCTGCGCCCTGGTTTGTTCATAATTTACCAATGGTGCTGTTAGCCTGCTGACGTTAATTCGGTGCTTTGCAAGCAAATCTGAGCTGCAAACGAATTAATATTAGTGCTTAGCTGTAGGCTGGAGTAAAATCGAGCCAGCTCTGCCTTGAAAAGGATAGGGTGGCCTTTCCTCGAGGTCGATGACTTAACCGCAAGAGACGGGACTTTGGTGACCCATGCTGTGTGATGTCGATAGTGTTGAGACCGCTGAGGCGCGGAGCATTTACCGTATGAGTGCTACACACGCGCCGGGCCGAACTATGAAGACAGGCCGGTGATGGGCGCCCGTGATCGGCGCGTGGGCGTGCAGTGGCATTTTCCGCCGGTGTCTACGGACCCGACTGTGGGCCCCCTTGCTGGGATGCCATCGCATGGCTTTTGTTTTTATTGCAGGTCACGCGTTATTCTGTCCGCATCAAATCACATATCATGGCACGTGTCCATAGCGGCGCTGCCGGTGCTGGAGGGCCGCGCAGTTGTACTCGATCGATGTCCTTCGCCATGTGTGGTGGGCGCGTGCGGTGTCCCCTGCTGCGGCGCGCGGCACGGTGGCGCGCCAAGTGCATTGGCGTGTTACGCAGGTGTCCGTAGCGCATCAGGGGCCTGTGAGCCGCAAACTTTCATCGGTCGCTGGCAATCGTTGCGAATGAAAATAACATGGGCCGTGCGTGTCTTTCGCTGTTTGCCAATTGGGTCGTTCTGGTTTATAACTTTTTACTTGTGCGTGCGACTTCGTTGTGTATACGTAGTGGTGTAATAAACGTACTATAGATTTGCGGCGTGATATTGGTAAAAGACTGCCCGGCCTCACGTGTCGGCGTTCAGCTGAGCTCTCGGTGAGCTTGTTACGTGCTGCATCACCTGCAGCGCTACGCTTCTCGGCTTCGGCCAACAGTATGGTCTGCGCTCAGCAATACCAGATAGCCGGCATCCATTTCTTTTTTTAAATTGCCTTTCGGGAACACATGCGTAGACTGCAACTCGTGCCTTGACAGATGTCCACCTAGCGGACAAATCGGGAACGTATCTTTCGGATAACTCGTGGCGCCGCCGCGTCTGGATGACTGGGAGGACGTCACGTCTGAGGGATGCCAAGTCGGGCGCAGTTGCGCGCGGTTCCGGCCGCTTAGCTTCTTCGAGCAACACACGGTGCGATGGCTGTTGGGGGCCAAGTCTGGCTTGCATCTCGAGCGCAAACTTTTGGAACACAATGTATTGTGGCTTTGCCCCTCGCACTTGATACTTTCTGTAAGATAACCCAACACGAGACGAAAAACCAGCACGCCTTGGGGTCAGCTCAAATGTGCCTCACTTCATATCAACGTGAAGACATGTGCCGGCGACTGTGTGACATGGCCGCGACTGAAGCTGCCGAGTTTTTGTTGTGCAGGGCTGTGGGGGGGGGGGGGGGGTAGGAGCAGTTTCGCAACCCGTAAGGGGCTGAGCGGGGGAAAATTGGCCCAAGCCTGCACCAAAATGTTCCAAATGCGTGTTTTCCCCGTTCATAGTTGAAAGCACTGGGGTCTTCCCCTCCCCCTATCATTCTCCTCTCCTAATTCATTTCGTACGCAACTGAATGTGAAGCTACATCCCGCGGCAATACTTCGTTGGCAAGATCTAATGTATTAATGTGATCGTTACGTTAAAATTGAACAGCGCATGAATATCACTATGCTACTTGCGCAAATCAGAAATTCAGACTCGCACGGATGTTCAGAGCTCCACGCATCCAGTCAGCCGGAATAGCAAACTAATTTGAATTACATTGTTACAATTATTACAACTTATGATTGCTACAATACCTTAGCAGAATGATTTAAGTTAAACTGCCGTTGCACATGCTGTTGCATCGTTCAAGCGGCGTGCAGGGGTCTGAACACCGCGTCATGGTAAATTTGAATGTCTGACCGTGGCAAAGCTAGAAGGCTGGGGGGGGGGGGGGGCACCCCGAACACACATCAAGTCCTGGTGCAAACGGTTTGGGAATGGTGCGTCAGCTCGCATATTAATTATGTGACTGACTTTCCTATTTGACTGTCAGTCATATCGTTTTCGGGATTCTGTTTGAAAATATGTAGCATGGATGGTTTGGGGCCCATAGTTCGTTTGCAAAAATCGTATGCATGAAGTACGTACAGAATTGTTCGTACGCAAATGTACGTAAAGCATAAAGTTCGCATGACAGAGGAATGTGCACAAACGTTTGTACGAAAATTTCGTATGCAAATATTCATTAAGTAGGAAGAATCCATATCAAATATTCGCAATGACAAAACTTTGTCGAACTGCAAGTTTGTATGAAAAGTTCTTACTCATTAAGTGCGTACAAAAAAGTCCGTACGCATTAACCCAATCCCAAATAGCTTGTGAGCAACTGTACGCACGTACATCCTCGTGACGGAAGAACTTCGGTTGACAAAAGTGCGCATGTAAAAGTTCGTAAACATTGATCACATAGTGATGCATTTGTAGGAATAATGCTCCTGAGGCCCCCCCCCCCATGCTCTCCATGACAGACTGTCACCAGGGCACCAAATTGTCCACTGTTAGCTCTCAAATTTTGGCCGAAATTTAGTCTCCATGGGTAATCCAGCGAGCAGAATTTCGCTACGCAATTTCATCATGGTTCGATAAACGAGGGAAGGGAAGATAGGTGCATGGATATTTTGGCTGCATGCCTTTATCGAAAGGCGTGTTTGTAGGGATTTTCAAACTGTTTGCCGATCCCACTCGATTTTTAAGTTTGTTTTTTTAAACAGCGTGCCACAGTATTTATAAGTCACCAGCATTCAGAGACTTTCAACAAGGTGCGATTGCCAGCTATTGTTGCGATGCAATGTATATTCCATTAAGAATTTAAATACGCGAAAAACGCGTGTATGTGCAAGCGAATTCAGGTAAACGGGAAACACGCATCACGCATCATTCGTACCTGCCTATATATATATATATATATATATATATATATATATATATATATATATATATATATACATGTAACATACATATTATATGTTTTTTCTTCGGGTTTTGCTGCGTGGAATTAGGCTAACAGTACTGTCTCATCCATGTTTCCATGTTGCTCTCAAACATGGGCGTAGGAACAGGGGGGGGGGGGGTCCAGGAGGGCCATGGCCTCCCACTTTTCAAGAAGCAGGAGCCAGCAATGTTAACTGGTCCCCTTACTATTCAGATTAAGGTTGCATTTGGCTTACTTTTGCGCTGCATTGAACATGCATGCTGATTTACCTAGTTCACCAGCCATCTCCCTTAAGATGCGTCATCTTCTTCGTTTGCTCATTGACCATCACTTAGTATAACAGCCGCGAGGCCCACGCCGCACGGCCTGGAGACTGCAACGCCGGGCGTCGAGGCTGTTATTGCTATGAATTGCGAGCACGCATGTTCAACACCACACTACGTAGTTTTTTTTATCAGTAATCAGCTCTGACAGGATCTTGAGCATTATGAGACGAACATGGGCTAGCCACGTTAATACAAATTATGACCCCCATTTCATCTGCAATCTACAGTCAGTGAGAACTCAATATCTTTGAAGAACATAAAAAAACATGGAACCGGAGTCTATGTGAAAACTATCGGACTGCCTGTAGCGATCATGGATGTTGTTGCGTCATTGAGGGTCCCTGTGCTGATCCAGGCTACCTGCGCGGATCAGAAGGATCCCGTGTCAGGGATGGGAACAATGTGATATGATATATCCTTTTAATGACCTCCGGATCGACCAGGAGATCCCGCCCCGTGCCACCAGAATGATAGCCAGAAGACACTTCGTCATGGAACGGAACGGTCCTTCAGGCCTTGACCGGAAACGGTAATGTACCCCTGGTGTTCTACTCAAGAGGCTCCGTGCCCGGAAGGGAATAATGGGTCTCATTATTGTTGCGTAGAGTAGGACTCTCATTATTGTTGAAAAGCGCGGGCGGAAGTGAATTAAAACACGAGCAAGGTCATGCCATGTTTGCCTCAGAACGTTCATTTCTTTCAGAATGTATTATTGAAACAAATTACATCAAAAGGCTTGAACATGCCCGCCCGCAACCTCGATAGCAAGGACAAGGATGGTCTGGGTTGCAACTTCCGTAAAACCGATAAGTTTCGGCCACTGCAAGTCCCACCAGACGGCGGGCGCCGTGTTAATCTGTCTTCTGGACAGATAAATAGCTGCGAAATAGATGTTTTTCCTTCACTCTTCCAGTTCAACCACCAGATTCCAGGCCCCCCCCCCCCCTGCGCGGTGCTTAAGGGGTCAATCCGTTCTTTTCATCAATCTAAAAATTGCACGGGCGAAATATGCCCTCAGACTGCCTTCTAAATACAAGAGCTGATTTCATGAAGCGTCCAAGGATACTTTCTCAGAAGCGTCGTAATTTCCGTCCACCCGTTGGCCACAACTAATATTAGCTGCTAGGCGGACTCGGCGCGGCCTACGGAGACTACAACGCCTGGGGGCGAGGCTTGTGTTTCTAAAATTTTAGAGTGCGCATGCTCAAAATTACGCCATGCAACTTGTATAACTAGTTGATTAAGGTATTTAAAGGCAGTCATTTCGGAAGCGTCATCATTTCCGTCCACCGGTGGGCCACGGCTAAATATTCGCTACTAAATATTCGCTACACTCCGCGGTTTTGGAGACTGCAATGCCTGGTGTCGAGGTTTTTGTTGCGAAGATTTGCGAGCGAGCATGTTAAAAAAACACGGTACATGAATTGAATCGCTAATCGATTTTGACTGAATGGTGAACATTTTCAAACAAACATGGCTGGCCATGTTAATACACATCGTTGACCACTCGATTTGCAATCAAATTTTCGTCTTCACGTTTGGATCAAACATATCGATCTACAATCTACCTTCGCGATGTCCTCAATGTCTGTGGAGCCCAGATAAAAAATTGACACAGTTTCTGAATTCTATCGGCTTAGAAAGAGTCAGCTAACCATTGTAAATTAAGAGCGCCGGTGATTTCTTCCATGCAGCCGTTCAACGCCTGATTTCTGCAATTTATTGACTTCAAAAAGCAAATAGAATTGAGCTCACGGTAGCTCCTGGTTTCTGTTCTCGTTACAAGGTAAGAATGGCAATAAAACGAAGAAAACCGTGTCACTTGTTAACAAGCAAGCCAAATCCAGGGATTTTTTTGGGTGGGGGGATCACCATAAGATGGGCTTTTGTTAACCCTGTGTTTCCTCTTGGCAAGGCTCTGGCTACGCCCCTGCCTACACACAAAAGCAAATCAAATCGCATACGTTGCATAATGGGCAATGAAGTGCCCGTTGGGCCAATCCATACCTGAGGCAGACATCTTCCCGGAGGCTATTTTTCTGCGATTATGTGGTATAAGGGAAGATAATTCGGGAAAAATACTGTTGTTGGTGTCTAACACATGTTTTATATACCATGTAGAAGTGACGCTGATCCAAAAGTATGCAACAAAGTAGCCACACGATCAGCTCGCAGTCAGTCATGCGGGAGGCATCCAGGCCAGAGCAGTGACCACCGACGGCGGACAGAAGCGGGGCTCAGATGAGAAACACATGACAGATGGGTCTTATTATGTGGCTTAATTCTTAAAAGAGAATCTCCAGTTCTATGGATTTTGTCACATTGTTTCCAACAGTTTCAAACTCCCGAATTTGTTTCCGCCTAAAATACTGCGACAAGTCAAATTTCTTGAAAAGCAGCCAGTGAAATGAAGGTGCATGAAAAACCTGGCGCACTGTGAGCCATCGATCCACTTTCAAAATTCTTACCA